GGGCCTTTATGGAATAATAACTGTAGCCTGTCTCTGGTATTCTTGTCTTGCAATGTTCCATTCTGTATTTTATGTTACATATATTATATCAGTTCTGAACTGCATACCTACAAAGTAAAAGTTATAAATGGCTAATTTTTCTCAAGTAATATTCATACAAAGATGGAGTCTTCTGGTGAAAGGAAGAAAGAGGTAAGGCAAACACTTGTGACTGAAGCTAAATTTTGTATAAACCTACTTAAGCTTGAAGATGTATTATTAATGTAACTGAAAGTAAAGAAATAAATGGCTTACAATTTATGAACAAGCAAAACCCACTCTCAGTATATACACCTATATTGTGTAGGCTTTGAAGAGAAGCATAAAGTTGAAAACTATTCAAGTGAAACTACAACAGCAAATCAATCAATACTATGATGTTCAGTTGTGCACATCTACATGTAATCCCACACGTATATTTGGAGCCAAATAATTACATTGATCTCTACTTTAGTAGTATGTATTTTGCTTAGAAAAGCATTATCAGATGGAAACTTACTGATGACTATTTCAAAGAAACTGTCATGGAATCTTCAAACTTAGATGCATGCCTATTTTTACCAGATACCTCTCCCTTGAAAGTAATTACCTGATCCAACTATCCCTTCCAAGTCATATAAACAGCCAATCTGTATATTAACATATCAAAATAATTTAAAATCTCATATGATTATTTCTTAATTTTCTCGGTTCCTATTGCATTATTCTTCTCATTTGTCTTCATGCTTTTGTCTTTTCATTTTGACTCTCTATACCAGTGATGGCAAACCTATGGCACGCATGCCACAGCAGGCACACAGAACCCTCTCTGTCGGCACATGAGCCAAGTTGCTCCAGCATTGCCCCAGCAGCCAAGCATTGGATAACAGTGCACATAGCGGCCATGCGCATGCTCAGAAAGGGGTAGTGGCATCAGGCAATGAAGTCATGAGCCGTGACTCATTAGTCGTGAGTTGTCTGAGATTTTGCATGGCCGGTCAGTGCGCTGCCAAGGCTGTGAGTTGTTTTTTTCTAAACTAAAACCTCAGTATTCAGGTTTTATTGCAGTGTTGGCACTTTGCAATAAATAAGTGGGTTTTGGGTTGCAGTTTGGACACTCAGTCTTTAAAAGGTTCACCATCACTGCTCTATAACATAGAGGTAAGTATTTGGCAAGGGTGAATATTGTTTAGAAATGTTTTGGCTATTTGTTGCCCTGTCAGAGTCAGCCCATAAGTAGGGAAAAGTCTGAGTCCAATGCACACAAGAATGCACAAACAGGTGACTTGTGCTGTGAAAACTTTCTGCACTATTGCATACCATGCATACAGCAAGCACACAACCACTGGGGAGGTGTTTCATGTTGTGTTCAGTACCACTGCATTATCACTGCACTGTTCCTTTAAGCACAACTTAACCTCCAGGTTTTTACCTAGCAGGCCTGAAATAGCCTGGAAATTTTGCCAGATAATGGTCCAGATAAAGCCCTCTGGTTTTTTCCTTTTTGTCTTTTTTTATTTTGCATTTTGGGAAGTTTAAATGTGATTTAGAAGTTCAGGGAAGGAAAGTGGTAAATGAAATTCTTAAATGTCTACTTGGATCTTACATGCATCATGGGGTACTGTCTTGCAGTCAATATTCCATACCTTTCAACTCTAAATGTTAGCCTAATCATGTTCTATCTAAGTGTATGTTTTAGCATTATCTTTAATAGGGTAGGATTAAAATTGAAAGGTCTGCTGAGCATTTTAAAAATTCCACCCATTTCATGTTAATGATTATGAAGTGTAATACGAACCCCCATCCCTATTTCTTCTTTCTGTCCACAGCTCCTGTGTTTTATTTATTTGCCTGCCACTTTAATTACCTATGAAATAAGACCTCATTCTATAGAAAACTACTATTTAAAAATACCTCATATTCACTGGCAAATCATTTGACTGAAAGAGTCAACAAATTCAGTTAGGAAATCAGTCTATCTAAATTAAAACAAGCATGTCTTATTGATGTAGAAAATAACATTAGAATTCACTGAGCTTCAGTTGGCACCAGAATGTACAAGTGATTTGCTTTTTGTATAGAAAAGCATTTATCTATCCATTCATTCATTCATTCATTCATTATCCAAATCTCCAAATGATACAGAAAGCAAAAAAAGTCCTCAAAATAAGCAGGTTTCAGGCATGTGTGAATGTTTAGCCATCACATAAAAACTGGACAGTAAATGGAAATAGTGCCTCTCTAAATGGAAATGTATTCTATTAGTGCCTTGAAGTATTCTCCTCTACAGGGCTATGAGAGGGAGCAGCCAAGAACTTTAGCACAGACAACAGTTTGCTTCTAATTTGGTTTCAGATAATGAAATTAACCCCTATAGGATAACACAAAGAAGCAAACACAGAGAATAGTGCAACTCTCTCCCATCCTCTTCGTAATTTTCGTAAAGCCACCACAGTAATATGTGGGCTTTTAGCTATTTAGATGAAAAGCAAGGCTTCTGTTTTTCTAAGGCACTATTTTGACCTCAAGTAGATAAAGAACATTAAACAACAAACATTCTGCAAAGAGTTACTGTGTTCTTCCCCCCATCGGCTCTGTTTACATTAGGAAATCTACCCAGGGACCGAGGGGAAGGGGAAGAAGAAGGCAGGAAAGCTGCCTTTCATCGGCGGCGCTCAGTTCCACTGGCTCCAGTTAAAGCTGGCCCCTGTTTCTCGGTAAGCTTACTCCACTCCAGATGTGCCTCGGCTCCAGAGTGGCTGCCATGTACAGTAAATCGGCATCTGAGGGCTCGTCAATCTGTGGAGTAAAGCAATTGTGGTCTCGCCAGGCCACCCCACTGGCACAAACAGTGCTGCTAACTAGTGAAGCAGGAAAAGAGCGGACTGGGGAGGGGGCAGCGATGCTGAAAGTATGTGAAAGGTGAGGAGTGCGTGTCCAACAGAAGGAGGGGGACACTCGTGGGGAAGTGGCCCTTCTTACTGTGTTTGCAAATTTACTTGTAAATGGTTTACACATTAAAAGCAAAGGGAATGCATTTGAAAATGTTGGCTGTCTATAGGTCCCTGCGGAGACGCTGGTCTAGTTCAACTTGTAACCAGAGCAAGAGAAACATGAAATAGCTTGGGAAACTCAGCCAATTAGCCAGTACAATCTAGAATATGAAATCAAGAGAGAGAGAGATGGCTCTGAACAGTTTGCGTTTTGTTCTGGCTGTTTTTAAATAGAAAGTGGCAGAGCTAAGTACTTTGTGCTGATTAAAATGATAAAGAAGTTAGTGTGATGGCATTCTAAGATCAGCAAACATTACCATTTGTCCACCTTCACTATTTAACTGGTATCATTAGAGAGCAAAAATTACTGAAATGGTTTCTTTCCTTTGCAGGCAAATACAGATGCATAAAACCCCAAGACACCCTTTAATTTCTGAACCCTTGTCATAAAATTATGCTTTTTAAAATAGTTCACTAAGATATGTAAGGTATGTTCAATTCTGGTTTTACATTCTAGGGATTATGTTCCCCAATATTTTGGTATATCAGGGAGAATAGTATTTGTTTTTTATTTGTCTGAATGTTGCTCGAAAGGAGCATGGGTGGAGGGCAAGGGGGCAAGCATTTTATTATGGAAGTCCCACC